TACTGAGATACATGATAGTACAATACAAGAGCTCATATATCCTGAGTCATAATTGACCTTGGAAGGCTAGGGCCAAAATGTTGACTTTCCTTACGGCCCTCCTTTTTCTTTAATTTTGATCTGCAAATTTAGGTTGTTAACCCTCCAGAAAACAAGCTTATTGTTATTACCATACAACCTAGGCTGTTGAGCTTATCCTCACTATCTGTCTGAATATCAAATATCTTCGGCATAACATGGAACAGGTATTTTTCATCAAGTATTGATATGTTGAACTTTAAGTCCCTACAGAATATGATGAAAAAACATTTAAAAAATTAAAATATATTGAGCATGGTAATGGATTTATGGTGGGCCCATCTATGTGGGTGTTTCATGGTGTACCCATCCCAGAGTAAGTGGCCTCTAACCATTGCCCAGCCTCACTGGCTGTGGACTGTGAGCACTGTAGAAAAATCAGGATATATTTTAAAAATAGGCATAAAGAATTATATAATTCTTATATTTACACATAAGTCCAAAAATCTCACCATATACAACCTTGTAGCAGGATACTCCCACAACAATCTTTTTCCTGTCTCCTGCCTTCATTCACCACCCCCTTCTTTTTGAACAATCATCTACCCGAGAGACAGCACAGCAGCAACTGGCATGTCATGACAAGCAGCTCGTATTCAAAAGACCAGAATGACAGGCACTGCAAGCATGAACCTACTATTATGAATTGCCATCTTCGGTGCAGTTGCTTAGTTCACAGGTGTCTGTACACATAGTTCGTCAGGGTGAGAATCATTCCAATTAACTGCAAGATTCAAAAATCTTGTGAAGATTCTCAGGATCATTGCCTTACCCATCTTCTACATATAACAGTATGGCTTGTCACTGTCATGTTTCCTAGCTCTTCTCCTTGCTCTATTTTCATTGTTTAGTCTCAAGTTTTACTTTCCTTTTAGTTGTATTATACCTTTCTATTTGTACTTCTTCTTTCGAGTTCCTATACTAGGGAAACTATACAATATTTACAGATGTGTGTCTGGTTTATTTTACTTATGAGTATACATTCAAGTGGCATCTAATTCAATATAAAGGTTTTGAGTTTATAGTTCTTTATAGCTGAGTAATATTCCGTTGTATAAATATACATCTTCTGCATCCATTCTTTAGGTGATGGGCATCTTGGTTGTTTCCCAGATTTGGCTATCACAAATTGTGCTGCTATAAACATAGGCACACATATATCACTATAATATGATGTTTTCAGATCCTGTGGG